TGGTTGTTCACAAAAATGGCAGTTGATTCAGACAAAGCAAAAGTCAAGACATGGTTTTATAGTAATTGTTACGTCACACATCGAAAGACACACGTGTCACACAGAGACAGAGCAAATCGTAGTCATAACATAGATGCACCATCAGAGTCCTTGTATAGTCTTGCAGTTGTCCTGCACGTAGGCCAAATAGCTATCTAATCCTCACAAAAGTGGTGGCAAAATTTTCCACGAAACTCAGTCAATTAATTGTGAAATAACATGTTGTTATGCAACCTCTATGGTCCCTTATATCAGAAGTGAAATTGTTATTTAAATGAAACAGCTTTGAGAGATTACATTCTAATGAATGCTGTTAAAGGGTTATTGACAATTGTTACCAGAGCCGGGCAATAAGTAGACATGCAAAAACTGGTATGAATATTTACATAAATACAGTATTTATTTTATTACTATGAAGGACAAGTGACCCAAAATATAAAGGTTAGACGCCTTTACAAAGCTCTGAATGTTAATGAGATAGGCTGAATAACAGAAATGAAAATACACTCAAAAGGACAAATATTAAAACCACTGTAAAACAGAAAAACACAAAACCCTTAATATCTTAAACAAAACTTTAATCATTTAAAAACCTGTTAAAAACTTGCTACCTGTGCGTCGCAACCCCCACACACAGCTCCACACAGACCTTTATTTGCCCAATGGCAAACAGCACGGCCTCCCTACCACAGAACAAACAAACAATTAATTTCATCACCATAACACTGCATAAACTATTTTAAAAGCTCACCGTAGCTTTAGCCAAACACGCACACACACATGAGCCCAGCAAACACTCTGGCCGCCCACGGAAACTGGCACCTGTCTGGCACGTAGCCAACTTCCTATTTTAAGGCTGACACCAGCGACACCCACTGGTGACACCCGTTACACAATGTTATGTTGGATTTAATAAACATTATTGATTTGGATTTAAGTGCATCACTTGCATTGTACTTTGGATTTAATCAACAATATTAGTTATGATTTATTTAACACCCTCAGTTATGGATTATTAACAATATTAGTTATGATTGAATTAACATCATTGTTTATTTTTTAAATAGATTTTAATATTAATGTGTAATCAAAACTAGTTTAGTGTAGAATGTAGATACAATTGTCATATTTAGTCTAATCAGAGGTTGGATCTTTCATCTCACATCCTCGAGGATCTCCTCTTATAGATCCGAGCTCTAGGATGTGAGATGAAAAGATCCAACCTCTGACCTGACAATAGAAATCTGAAGAACCTTTCTCTAGTTTCACACATAAACATTAATAATTAAACACTCAATAACCTTGCTCTACAATGGAAACATCTGTGACTGAGCATATACAAATACACAATTGTGTTGCATTAACAACTTTATTTTTAACGATGCAAAGCTCCTTTGAAAGATTGTACATATGGCATTTGCATTAAAAATCAAAAAAGAATTCTGTTCCAACAAAGTGACAAATGGATTACATCAAGTGCAGGACATAACATTTTACACATTTGTTGATCTGCAGAGTTCATACTACACACAATGTTGCTACTGCTCAACATTTGTAGAACCTTTGCAGAGCAAACAAGTTATCTGGTCTGCAGAGACGCTGCAGATTCAGTGTATTTTTTAGAAAGATTCTGTAATAAACATAAAAATGCATTTAAGGTAGTTTGTTATCCCAAATATTTAGAACAATAAAAAGTGTCACATTTTAAAAACAAAAATAACAGCATATTACATCTACAAAAAATTGAAAAAATAGTGCATTAACTAACTTTGGAACAAGTTAGATTAAACAAAAACTGGGCGACTTTGTGCCCATTTGTGAAGTAATTTTTTTCTCAAACAAAATCGAGTAACTGCAGACAGCAGATCGTGAAAATACTATTCAGAGTGCATTAAACAAAAATGATTTTCTCACAAATACACTTGACCTACAAACTGTACAGTCCAACTTTTGTTTATAAAGAAAATAGAGTTTAACATTCTCTGTTGAACACTCTAGATCAGGGGTGTCAAACTCATTTTGGTCCAGGGGCCAAATACAACCGAATTGGATCTCAAGTGGGCCGGACCAGAAGATGCTCTACAAAAATACCCAAAAACGGTACAAAGTCCAACTTTTTGTGCACAGAAACACATTTATATAAAAGTTCCTTTAAAACACTGTCCTTTAATACTCACTCAGTTTTAGCTGTAAATCTGTTACAAACTTAAATGTAACAGTGAGTTTTTCATTGGTCAAATAATGTAATGTATTTACAATATTACATTGTAAATGGCATTTCACAATATTTATATTAATAAATGTATGTTAGCTTTGTTTTAAGGCTCATTACAGAGAACTTGCTCACAAAGGTAAAAAGCACTTTAACACAGCACATCATCATTATCATCACAGAGAAAGCATCAAACTGACCATGACTCAGTTGAAACGAACAAAACAACTTCCATAACGGGATCTATTCTTAACGACTGCAGCAGTGTCTCTGCGTAAAATACAGTCAAATGTCCAAAAATCATCACCTCCATTTGACGCTTTGTCACTACACCTGCTTTTACTTAACAGCACCAGCAACAACCGCAGAACCAGCAGCAGAACCAGCAGCAGCACCAGCAGCGCTCAAAACTCCTCTGATAGTTTCAGTAACACCACAAATGAATATGTGACATCAGTAACATCAGTCTCTTATCAATGGCAACATGATGGTAAAAGTGAGTGGTTTCTCAGGACACAGTCTGCAGTCTGTGAGAGTTTTAACAACTCTCTCTCACTGTGCGGCTGCAATGCTAATGCTATGTTTTTAGCGGGGTCGGCCCGATGTTCCCCGGGTCCGGAGTTCCCCGGGGCGGGGAACATCGGACCTTCCAAACGCCGGAGGGCCCGGTGTTCCCCGACTGCGGGCCTCGCTCATAGACATGTTATTGCTGCGCGCGGATAATGGAGCAACAAGCGGCTTTCGCTCATAACTAGTCTAGGGCTACTGAATACTTTATATTATAAGCCTAGTAGATCTCGCATTGTAGTAGCCAACTACATTTTTACAACCTACCACCTCAGAATAAGAACGTGTTGATGATGGCGCCTCGTACGGTCGACATGGCTCTTTGCTGCTCTCTTTTTCTTTTGTTTTTACTTTTTAACTGTGCATCTGGCTGTTCCTACACCCGTGAGGAACTTATGAACATCCGACCCACCGTTCCCATGGACCTATTGCCTGTTTTCTTGGCATCTGCGGCTGATTTAGTTCATGTTCTAGCCAAAAAAGTGTGGGCCCGTAAAAGGGGAAAGCGCGGAGGCCTGCTCGTGCGTCTGAGGAGGAGAGGAGCGCGCACGGCTCTCCCCGGCATTTTTCTCTCCAACGTACGCTCACTGGGCAATAAGATGGACGAACTCAGCCTGCTCATGAGAAGAAACAAGGACTTCGCCACATCCTGTGTCCTCTGCTTCACTGAGACCTGGCTAAAATGAGCGGATCCCGGACTGCGCTCTGGAGCTGCAGGGCTTTGGGCTGTTTCGCGCGGATCGCCATTGTGCGCTCTCAGGGAAGAGCAGAGGCGGAGGGCTCTGTTTCTACGTCAATACAAACTGGTGTAACGATGTGACAGTGATCTCCAAGCACTGCTCTCCTGCTCTGGAATATCTTTTCATTCATTGTAAACCATATTACTCCCCGCGGGAAATTGTTTCATTCATTCTTGCCTCTGTTTACATACCGCCATGCGCGGACGCGCGCGAGGCTCAGCGCGCACTCGCAGAGCAAGTACTGTGTATGGAACGCTTATACCCGGACTCTCTGATTATTATCCTGGGGGATTTTAATAAGGGAAACTTGAGCCAGGAATTACCCAAATACAGACAGTTTATCAAATGCCCGACCAGAGAGGAGAACACTTTGGATCACTGTTACACCACCGTGCGCGGAGCTTTCGCGCGTTCCAGTAAGCTTTTTTATTTATATACGCGCCAAGTGTTTTACAATTGTTATTATTTTTTGGCCCACTCACTCCACACAGCCAGCCCTCGGTGCTTCTCAGATCGCAACAGGGGAGAACATGCAAACTCCATCAGAAGAAGCCTCGGCTTCTCAATCTCCATGGTACATCTGGTTCCTGCTTACAGACAGAGACTAAAGCTCTCGAAACCTGCAGTGAGGAGCTCCAAAGTGTGGTCTGATGAAGCTGTGGAAGAGCTGCGCGCATGCATGGAATCTACAGACTGGGACCTTTTCAGAGCTGCCACAGACAGTTTGGATGAATATACGGACACTGTAACGTCATACATCCACTTCTGTGAGGATAGCATCATTCCAACAAGGACCAGGGTCATCTATAACAACGACAAACCCTGGTTCACTGCTAAACTCCGGCAGCTCAGGAAAGCAAAGGAGTCTGCTTTCAGGGAGGGGGACCGCAGCGGCTACAAAGCAGCTAAATATCAGTTCAGGAAAGAACTGAAAGCAGCCAAGTCCCGGCACAGAGAACGACTACAGGAGCAGTTTGGTAACAACGATACTGCTTCTGTCTGGAGGGGCCTACGGGAGATCACCAACTACAAACCCAAAGCCCCCCCCTGTGCTGATGACCACAAGCTAGCTGACGATCTGAACTTATTTTTCAGTCGCTTTGATGCTGCCCCTGACACCTCTCCCCTCCCCCACCCCCCACTACTCTAACGACCCACCCATCAGCCCTGCCCCTAGCCTAACAATAGCCGCTAAAGAGATTAAACAACTCTTCCTGAGGCTGCACCCCCGCAAAGCTCCTGGCCCGGACCACGTGTCTCCGGCCACTCTGAGACACTGCGCCAGTGAGCTTACTCCTGTGTTCACGGACATTTTCAACTCCTCTCTGCAGTCCTGCCATGTCCCGGCCTGCTTCAAATCCTCCATCATTGTCCCCGTCCCGAAGAAGCCCAGGATCACAGGACTCAATGACTACAGACCTGTAGCACTTACGTCTGTCGTCATGAAGTCATTTGAACGCCTGGTTCTCTCCCATCTCAAGTCCCTCACCTCCCCCCTCCTGGACCCCCTGCAGTTCGCCTACAGAGCCAACAGATCTGTAGACGACGCCATTAACCTGGCCCTCCACCACATCCTACAGCACCTGGACTCCCCGGGGACCTACGCCAGGGTCCTGTTCGTGGACTTCAGCTCTGCCTTCAACACAATCCTGCCATCCCTGCTCCAGGACAAGCTCTCCCAGCTCAACGTGCCCGATTCCACCTGCAGGTGGATCACTGACTTCCTGACGGACAGGAAGCAGCGAGTGCGTCTGGGGAAGAATGTCTCGGACTCTCGGATTATAAATACAGGAGCCCCACAGGGCTGTGTTCTTTCTCCCCTGCTCTTCTCCCTGTACACCAACCACTGCACCTCCAGCCACGACTCCGTGAAGCTGATCAAGTTCGCGGACGACACCACCCTCATTGGACTCATCTCCAACAACGATGAGTCCGCCTACAGGAGGGAGGTGGACCGGCTGGTGTCCTGGTGCAGTGGTAACAACCTGGAGCTGAACGCCCAGAAGACAGTGGAGATGATTGTGGACTTCAGGAAGAGCACTGTCCCCCCGCCCCCACCCTCCGTGATGGACTCCCCCATCACCTCTGTGGAGTCCTTCCGTTTCCTGGGCACCACCATCACCCAGGACCTCAAGTGGGAGCCGACCATCAGCTCTCTCATCAAGAAGGCCCAGCAGAGGATGTACTTCCTGCGGCAGCTCAGGAAAGCCAAGCTGCCTGCACAGATGTTGGTGCAGTTCTACACGGCCATCATCGAGTCCATCCTCACCTCCTCCATCACCGTGTGGTTCGCTGGAGCCACAGTCAGGGACAAACAGAGACTACAGCGCATTGTGCGCTCTGCAGAGGAAGTGATCGGCCGCAGCCTTCCATCGCTGCAGGACCTGTACGTCGCCCGAGCTCGAGGCCGGGCTGGTCGTATCACAGCCGACCCCTCTCACCCTGCACATGGACTATTCCAACCACTCCCCTCAGGCAGGAGGCTGCGGTCCATCAGGACTAGAACCTCCCGCCACAAGAACAGTTTCTTCCCCTCTGCTGTTGGACTCTTGAACACTTCTTAACCTGTCCCCCCGCCCTTTATAAAGTCACTTTACTGCCCATCATACGTCACTTTACTTCACTGTACTGCTGTCACCTTACATTGTGTGCACCATGTGCACTTGTATATTGTAAATAGTAACTGTAACTCTATTTTAAATTTAAATTTATTCTTTAGAAGTGTTTTTTATTCTTATTTTTATTATCTCTTTTTGACTGTTGCACTGAGCCAAAGCAATTTCCAAGTCTGTGACCTCCCGTTACTTACGTTGGCAATAAAAATGATTCTGATTCTGATTCTGATTCTGATAAGAAAAGTAAAATTAGCTCCACCACCTTTTCTTTTTGGAAACATATCTCCCTCCGTTCATCCTCGCAACAGTATCGGCGCCAGGTTTGCAATTTTGGGTAGGCCTGCAGATTAGTAAGTAGGCCAAATTCGCTTGCAAACTACAAGGGCTAACTGGAATTGGGGTTTCAAAGAATATGGTTCAAACGCACACACGCACTCACGCGCGCACATACACACAAGCTCATTTATGAAACTTGCGTTGAAAAAGGTGTACATTTTGGGTGTATATTCCATTTACGCAATTTGCCAAAATGTTTTGATACATTAGAAAAATCCTTATTGAATTGTAGAAGTGAATAAATATAGATTGATTGAATGAATGAATAATTCATATATATTATGCAGCGGTGGCTCTCATGAATGAAGCGTCTGCAGCGTCTTGGACGCAGCCTGGCTCGGGGTAGAAGTGCGCATTGAGGCGCTGTACACTTCAGAGAGCGTTTGCGGTCCAGATTTCACAAAGAAACTCTGGAGCCAAAACTTCTGCACATGTGGCGCGACCTCTCACGGCACTCGCTGCGCACTCTGGACAGGGCAGTGAGACGTTTGAGTGAGCAATACCATCGATGCGTTATTGGGGTGTGTGTCTGTGTGAGGCTTACACAAATCTAATGAAATAACACATTGCTTTACCAGATGTGAATGAGGAATACAAATAGCCGTGCGTAATTACGCAGCGCAGAGCCTGCCACAGCAATAGATGGGTCACACATCCCTGTTGCGTAAAGTGTATTTATATAGAGCCTTTCACTGTCCAGGATCACAAAGCGCTTCACATTTTAAAAACATACAGAACAAAATAATACACACACAAGTCAGATTTAATAGAGGGTCCTCATCATGAGCTGTGATTTATTCGAAGTTTGCGTGTTTCCATTAGACTTTTTCTGATGCGCAAATTCAAATTTTGAAACATGATCCTCAATGAAAACACAGCATATAATTTTGCCAGAGGGAATATGTTTATTGTTGTACATATCTTCAATTTCATGCGTGTTGTGCCAAAGGTTGAGTTCAGCGTATAGATTTACACCACCTCCAGACCTGGCGTTTATTTTTTGCGTATTGTACGCTCACGTCCAGATAGATAAATGCGGAAAAGTGTAATATTTTGCATACGCCTCATTTACCCTGATTTGGCCGTACGCAGGTTTCATACATGAGGCCCACAGTGAGGCCCACAGTGAGGCCCACAGTGAGGCCCACAGTGAGGCCCACAGTGAGGCCCACAGTGAGGCCCACAGTGTGTCTCACACAGGCCTAGAGTTTACCTCATCAGTGCAAGGCGAGCCTGGCCTGACCGCGCTCTCCTCCTCTGGGACCTACGGGCCCGGGCCTCTGGCTCCTCTACCTCACAAAGTTCACGCTGAACTTTCTTAAAATTAAAATGAAAAAGGCTGCTCTGTTGTGAATGCTTTGAGAGCGTTGTCAATCTTTAAGACGAGGAATAGCTGGTTGTTCTCGCTTCACGCTGTGTAATATGATATTGGACAAAATTGTTCAGCCAATAAACAGGACTATATTTGAAGCAACGTAGGAACGTGATGACGCTCAGGGGGTTATATTATTATTATAATTATTATTATTATTCCCCCCACTGTAGGAGCCAATACACTTTTCAATATTTTTGAATTCTGAGCGTTTCCAATTGTATTTAAAAATGGGAAACCTAATTAAACAATCATGAATTGAGCTTTTCCGATCTTATTTTACACTGATTTCTTTGATCATTTTTTTCTTAAAGTTCAAGTTGTAAAAATGTTATGTTTGAATTGGTTATTTACATTTTAACTGTGAGTGACACGTAAGGCGGGACAACAATGCACAATGACGCACGCATTCTGAATAGAATAATATGTATTAATATCTCTAAAACTAAAAGAGCATATTCAAGTTTTACAACAAAAACGACGTCATATGCGTGTCCATTATGCGTAAAAGCACAGTGCCCTCAGCAAAACCACGTATTTGGAAAAACTATAGGCTAACAGATGTAGTAGCTCTAGTTTCAATCGTCCTCATTTTATTCAGTCAGACTTGTCAAATATAGATGCCCATGGGAGAGTGAGCAAGGGGAGATAACATGCCCATAACATGCCCAAAAATATCCTGACTCAAGCTGCGATCAGCTGAAATATGAGCACACAAAGAGCGAGAGGGAAAAAGAAAAGTAAATAGGCTTAGGCTAGTTAGTATTTTTTCTCTCACAAAAGTTGGCACGGATCATATGCCATCTTTCGTGGAGGAGGAAACATCAAACATCAAAGCGCGCACGCGGGGAACAGCGGGACTAGTCTCGTTGTTGAAGTCCCGATGTTCCCCCACTTCTGTTGGCGGGGGAACATCGGACCCGGGGAACATCGGACCCGGGGAACATCGGGACTTTTTAATACGCGAAGTACCGATGTTCCCCGGGTCCGATGTTCCCCCGCCTATAGAAGTGGGGGAACATCGGACCCGGGGAACATCGGACCCGGGGAACATCGGACCCGGGGAACATCGGACCCGGGGAACATCGGTACGCACCCGTTTTTAGCAAAGGTAGTTTCCCTTTACAGCAGCATCACCCACCTCTCGCTCTGGGCACAAACAGACTGATCCGGCCCGCGGGCCGCATGAATGACACCCCTGCTCTAGATGGACGCTTTGTTACTCTCCAGGAGGACATTCAAATCCTCTGGACTCAGGTGCATCTCCTGGTCTTGAGCACTTGTATTTTGTTTCAAAGTTTTTTATCATCCAGTTCCAAAAGCACTTTTTGGATGAACTCAAATGTGTAGCAGAGCTTTTTTGAACAACTCAGATTGAGGCAGTAAACCCAAGTGCACATCAGCCACATCTCCAAGATCCTGCTGCATCTTTCAATCGTCAAACGTCAATCTGCTCAAGTTGCTCATTCTTCATCAAATAGAAATCCTGAAAGGACATGAATATATTTTAAATCCATTACACGTTGACAGCTGTGATTGTGAACGGTAATAAGAAGTATTGGTTGGCTTTCAAATATACCACAAACAAGTAGTGTGCAAAAGACAACATGTTCATTTTACAAGACTGCTGGGACAATCAATTACTTATTTATGAAGGGAAAAAAAGTTAGGTACCCTTAAATATCCTTTCATCTTACCAAATAGGGTTATGAACAACAATTATTTTGATAATAGATATATTATTACTTGATATAATAATAATAATATAACATTATTTGATAATAATAATTGCCCAACTAATGCATGAGTTGTTTAGATCACACATTTGACCAGGACACATGCAGCCAAAGTGATGTCACTCAACCATATTCATAAACACGAGATGGACCTAAATTGTTGGTTGTAGCGATTACAGCTGATTGAGTCATAAAAGATCTTGGCATGTTTACATCTGTATACACCTGTATATGGTTAAAATCGATTAACCGTGAACTGATTTCAGTGTAGCTTACCAGCTTCTCTTTGAGGTTTGGAGGATTCTCATTCAGGAAGACCATCAGTACTTAAAGGATGCATTCACGCTTTAGTATTTGGTACGTTGCAGATACACTTTCAGAGCAGAGCTTACAACTCCACATTCATAACCTGAGAGATCAAACAAGAACATTGAAAAGGGAAAATACAACAAAAGCCAAAAAATAAATAATTTACCTCTGGGATGCAGTTTCAGGGCACAGCAGTTACCACCTCACAGATGGCAATATGGAGAGAAAATATAAATACACCAGGCTCAACAACAATCCACACAAAATGTACTCAATCAATAGTGACTCCCAGTGTAAGTCCCCAGTGTATTTAGCATAGCCATCTCCTTCGCCACTAACGGAGCTAACTAGAGCTAACAGGATAATAAAACCCATACTAGCAAAAAGTATCCATGGAGCTGACACGCGGTCGCGCCGTGGACCTCACGGAGCCACGTCCATGTTATTTTCACTTCACACTCTACTTCAGGCACATACAGTAGTAGTAGTAAAATGATAAAAACAGCCTGTGGTAACAGCGTTGACTTAAATTAAAATACAGTTTGTCTGCAGTTCGCACTGATGCATCACTGCCGCACTCTGTAAACATTGTGTGTTTGACCCCATGACTTTCTTGATATACATAGTTCCCACAGACCAATGAATGTCACATGACCTCCTCGGAGACGCCATCTTTGATGGCACGCTGCTGTGTTTGTGCATTCCATTAAACAGAAGAATGAGAATAAATGTATAGATATTCAAACGCAAATTGGAAAAAAAAGGGCAACTTTTGAGCAAATAATTGTATATTAATACAATGGCACCACAGTTTAACGTGCTACGGACATGTTTTACATATTTGATCAAATTATGCCGCAAAAATTAACAAGCAATGCAAACATTTCTCAAAAACTTTAGATTTAATACCAGTTGGAGCTCCATTTAATTATTTTAATTATATTAACTTAATTTTCAACTTTATCACGACATTAACACGTTTCAGCTTCTTTTTCTATTGTTTTGCCCACAGAATGCC